CATCTTTTCTTCAAATCGCCTGCTCGGTTTCATTCCTAATCTACTGTTTGTTACAGTTACCTGCAAAACTGTATCCCCTCTATGTCTGTTTTCTTTTTCGGTAGAGTACATTTGTGTATCCAAGATACAACTGAAACACTTTTTCTACCTCATTCAGTTCAGAGTAGGCGGGTCTTATTAAACAGATCGGTCGAGATTAATATTACTTCCTTTTTGATCCCTGCTATGTATTGCTATTTCTTATTCCCAACGGCAGTGATTACCGGTAGATGCGCGCGCACACACACATTTTCTATTGACTAGTTTATTCAGTACAAATACATTTGGTTTTCATTCTTTTCTTTCACTGAATGAATAGCATCTTCTTTTTCCGTCAACCCGACCAAGCCTTTTTGCTATGTTGTTACATCAATAAACACATGTCTCAATTCGCCAACCCTATACTAGGATGAACTGGTTGAGGATGTGTTTTTATATTCACCTTGGATTCCTTTAGTCTCAGTGTACTTTCCTATCCGCTTGTTCATGATTTTTTCGAGCGATATGAAACTGAATCGCGGCGTTTGAGCTGCCACAAATACTCTTGCCAGGCGCGCATTTTTTCTCCCTATTGCATTTAGACGGGACCATCATAAGTATCCCGTTTTGTAGATACCAGTTTCATGGTCTCATTTGGATGCACCATTTTCAGTGAAAGATAAATCCAGTTAACATCATGTAGTCCCACGGGGGGAGGGAGTAAGGGGCAAAAACATTGAATCTAATGTGGGATTTCGAAAAATAAAATGAATGTAATACCCGCTTCTCTTCGGTCATCCAGTGCGTTGTGTTCTGTGCGTATATTAGATCAGTCAAAAGAGATCAGTCTTTACCCCGTACGCTTTTATCTCTCCACACAGAGCCACACACGTTCCACACTCAACGAGGGCTTTCTATTGGATTGACAGAGAGCTGTTGCTCAAACGCTTCAGAGATTCATCAATTCGACTAGTTCCAGTGGTGTCATTGAGGAAGGCTGAATACCTGGTTCTACAATGCTTGTTCTCATCCACACGGTACTTTTCGTGTGGATTCCTGGTAATGAAGCCGAAAGACAACTTCTCATGCAATATAAGTAGTCTGATTAACAAGGATGACCAATATAGCAAACTCGCATAAATCGTAGTTTATTGATGTTAAAGAAGGCCTAAACAGGCCCATGCTTTGAGAGGAAGAAAAAACATTTGCCGCAGAGTTATGGAATCCCCTGAGCTTTTCAGATGATAACCGGAAATGACATAAGCACGCGCAAATCAATGGAAATTATTATATCCTCTCACCCTAAAATAGCTACTTTTAAAAATGTCTCTTAGACAGTTCAGACCAATAGTCAAATTCATTTCATTTTTGATAGTAATGCTAAATGATTAGCGTTCTGTTTCGTAGTTATTCTAACCACAAACGCTCCAGTAGAAGGGCAATGACAAAATGGTTTCACATTAGTGAACTAGACACACTTCTTCTTGATCAGTCTCATTGGTTTTTCACTGAGCGAGTGCTCCTATCCTATGGACTGTAAGCTTGACCCCAACTTATTTCAGTAGCGACTATTTTAAACACGATTGATATTGCACCGGGAAGCAACACACTTGTGCGATGAACAGCAGACCGGATGGACCCCATAGTGACGAAGGCCTGCTGTTCAATGATCGAAGACGGTGCCCTAAGCCCCAGGACATGGAGTAGCGAACGACATAAGGCCCTGTTGGGCCAGGTTTGATATTTAACCGGACGACAGTTAATATGCCTACCGCTAAAGTTGGGTGGCAGCGGCGCCGCTCGAACTCCGGATCATATGGCCCAAAGCACGCCGTCGACCGCGATGAAACCATTGCACCATCAACATCCAAACATGTACTTGATGCGTACTACTTTTTCTGAGTGCATTCAATTTATACTATGGGGTTTCCGATCAAAACCATCATTTATTTTATTGGAAAATATATTTTGTAAAATAGAATAGTTGAATGGTTTCAATCAGGATCGAAAGCTGGGTTTGTTTATTGGCTGACGAAATCATGATACTCGAACGGCACAGATGGTCCGTCCATCGTCTCGTGATTCGTTTGTTTAAACCGCGTCCCGCCATTGGTCTACTTCTCTTATCGGTTCGCAGGCCTCCTTTGGTTTTGTGATTTAGGTGAGTCTCAGGAAACTGGACACCCGTACCGATTTTCGGGGATTTTGTAACCACTAATACATGTGTGATTTGACGGAATTACCCATAAATATACGAAAAAGCAATACCGGATGCATATGTGTGATGGGTAACAAGGATCGTGAAATCGATCGTCTGTCTATGGACATAACCCGGCTGCGATTCATGAATTCATTTCACACTCTATAAGGGAAGGAACATTTTTCGCCACAACAACTGTCTCATGTTCACACAAATCGTGTTTTAGGGAGATCGATCTGTGACTGGTGGCGTGAGGATCACACTTAAAATTTCCTTAGGATACCTGATGTTCAAATTTTTATTGTTGTCGTCTTGGTTGTTTTTCCACCTTTTTTCAATTTAATTTGGTTGAACGATTACTTCAACGCCGTTCCGTTTGCACCAGTTGGTCTTTTTTTTCTATTATGATACGCTAGTGGTTCAGACTGAGTGAAAACAATCGCTTGAACATAGTAGTCTTTTTCTCTTGCTCACCAACGAGTTCATTACTTCTGCCACTTTGACTGAAGTAAGACACTTCGTTTGCTCTGTAAGCTAAGAAATTCACCATATAGCTCGTTGGTATGGGGGAAACTTGAATGTCTTTACGGTCTCCCCGAACAGTAGTCGTCAGTTGTTCAAACCGTTCGTTTTATCTGTCTCACTTTTCGACCGCAGTGTGCACATGCTTGTTTCTCATTGTCGTGTGCTCATCTTCTCTCGTCAGTCAGTCTAGTGATGTTGATGTTCCCATTCAACAGTTTACCTCTATCGACCTGTCCGCTGCATGACGCATTCATCCAGCTGGATATCCGTGTTTCCCCGTTCTCATTTGAGTGTGTGATCATGGAGCTAATTGGTTTGTTTATTTTAGGTCTTTCAATGCTCAGCTGACCCAGTTTGATCACGTGTTCCTGTCTATCACCGTCTGCCTGCCGCCCATCGAGCCGATTGTCCTGTTTAACCTCAGTGCTCGTTCCGTTGTCCAGATGCGCTGAATCTGTACATATTCATCAGTTTCTCTTCATCTGCCTGTTTATCTATGTCTGTCTAGCTAGCTAGTGGATTCCTAAAATTGAAACCTGCAGGGATACATGCAACATAACCACCACCGATTATTTTCACAACCATTTTGAACTCGTTCTTTAAATCAAGCACTCTCTCGTTTGGTACCAGGTGTTTTACATCAACTGCTGTTCGGAAAATGATAATGTAGACCAACTGGCTCTGACACCTCACGACAGTGATTGATCACATCTAGTGTTAACTGCATCGTCACGATTCCATTTGATTAGCACTAATCCATCGTGACTTTGTGGATTCAGATTTTCAGCAACCGGTCCCTCATTCGCTTAACTCATTTATTTACCGGTGATCCACATTAACAGCTGTCTCTCCTGGTTTTAGTGAATGAGCCTGAACGGTTCAGTTAATTGCGTTTCGTGCATTGGGCAATATACGCCGAGAGCGACAGTGACTCAAATTACGTGACGACTGGCATTTTAAGTGATGGTCAAGAAGGGATCTGTCACTCGCGTCCCGTGATCTTGCAATGTGAGAATAACAGCGCCGGAAAGCTTGGAAATACAAGAACAACACCGATTCGCACACTCGTCCTAATCACCCAATATGTTCATCAGAGTTCATTCGTTGCGCATTGTGCTGAGCCACGGTCATTTAGCACTACACATAAGTCACCTGCTCTATTCGAAATCCATAGCCGCTGTTCAGCCATCTCTCTTACTCACACCGCCCTTCCTCGAGGTAGTATGTAATGGCCTACTTGGACATTGATAACATACTCCACACGTATCAAACAGTGGGAAGCATCGAATATGTTCAGATATGTGTTAATCGCGTGGACTTGTTCTTTATAAACAGATCAGCTTTGTTTCTCTAATACAGTGCATGTATCTCTTTTGAATACTATTTTGAAAACATTATGGATTTTGACTTTCTGCCATACAAAGTTCATTTCCGTTCATCTTCTTCAAACCGCATCATTTATGTGCGAAACTCAGAGGTGAATCGTTCCCCTTGCAAAATGTGTACGAGGTTAAATGGACTAGCTTGTACTTCTCCCATGGTCACCACAACTTGGAAAATCATTCCACTATTGACCACTCAGATGGCTGATTCCTCAGTCCAGATTGTTTCAGAAAACGATTATTCACTCCTATCTCCACCTCACCATCATGTCGATATATTTATTCGACTTCAGAGATTTGTCAGAAATATTTTCAATTGAATTGCGGTTAAACTGACGAATATTGTTAAGTGATAAAATTCACTACATTTGCGATTTTTTTTTCAATCTCGTCACGCATACACACACGTAAAGTGTATGCACGCATAGTTTGACCGGTAACAAATTCACACTTGTTCTACCCCCTACCACCCCGTCCCATCTCATCTGGTGCTAATATACTGTTATTGCTAACTCATCTGATCCCACTGTACCCCAACCCATCTTTCTCTCTCGCGCGCGCACAGCGCTAATGAGTTTGTTTAGTATGATTGCATGTGGTCGCTCCTTTTCGCTTCTACCGGCAATCCTAGTTCCCGACCAAACGTGCATATGTCGTGCACTCAGCGCTTATCCGTGCTCACTGGCTCTGAGGTTTCACAGTCTAAACTTGTCCTATGTCTATCTCTATCCGCCTCGACTACTTATCTTGGTTTTTTCCATGGTTCACCGTCTGCAGCTGTGCAGTTTGGGCGTGTTTCAGATGGAGATTGGCGTGTTTGCGTGGCTTTCTAGCGGTACTCCTTTTCGTTATCTCTCCCTCCCCGACTCTCGCAGTCCCAGTGGTCCCATCCTCTTCCAGACTGGTCAACACAATCATTCCTCTGTATTCGACTTCGTCAACAACAACGACAACAGCAACAGTCACTTTCGTTACCCGGTCTAATAAGTAAAATTCCTCCCCCATGGAAGGAGTTTACATATTCCTCCTAATCACTCAATCCCCTCCGTCTCTATCGGGCGCACGCGCTCACGCCCGTGCTCCCTCTATTACCATATCGTCAAGCTAAAAATTTTCTGCTGAATAATATGGGTATCTGGGTTGAGGCGAGAACGGCTCTGGGGTGTGTAGATTGCGATTATGAATAGCGAGCGAAACTGCCGGTGGTGGATGTCTTCTGCTGCTGATAAATAATTCGTGCGTGCAAAGTGACGATTTCTTATAATGCATCATCACCCTGTCTTCTCACGCTTTCGATTACAGTTGGCACAGATTCATAACTTAGTTTCACTTCCCCCACCCCCCCGGGGGGAATGAGTTTATGAGGGCAAAGCGGATTGACATTGATCCACCCACGTGGGAGTGGATGAATGTCTCGGTCTGTTGTTTTGCAGATTGACATTCATATCTAGCATTCTGTGCCAACAGCACCACCACGTAACAGACAGATTCATAGCCGACTGCAGCCAGTCCCATTTGGCACATGAGAACGGTTTCATAGATGTTCTCTTTGTAAACAGTCTTGCTCACAGATGCGTACCGTCCACCCTAACTCTTCATACTATGGATAAAATATTCTGTATGTTTTAGATTCCTTCACGGTTTCCCACAGCACGAACTGTTTTAATTTAAACCATCCTTGCATTGTTCGTGTACGCTATTAAAAAAAGACGGACGTTTGTCCAATGCATTGTTTACTTCCACACTCGCGTACATGTATTGATCAAACTCGTGCAACATCCCGACTTCTATCACATTTGTTCATCTCAACGCTTAGCGTTGCTAGCCTCGTTCACAGGATTGGATATGTTATTGCTCCGCATCAGATAAAACATGTCCGTACTAATATTCTCTTATGTTTCTGTTTCTATTAGTCGAATGATAATAAAATGTATGATTTATCTATTTCGACGAGAGTCACTGGTTGTAAAATAACGAAGCCTGAGGGAAAACATAATTAGAATTTATTTATAAAAATGATTTATTGGCTTGATACAGCTATTGTACATTCATATTGGCAATCTTCTATTTGACCTTCTTCATTTTTGAGCACTGAAGGCAGTCACTTTTGCATGGAGTCTACCAAGTTGACTGTCCAACGACATTTGCCAGTTTCCTCTAATACATACACGACCACCGTGGAGGTAGATAACTAATCCCTATTTCTAACACATCACATTCAAATTCCAACTGAATGATTTCGACATTGGTCTTAACCCATCCAGAAACTGTATAAATGTGAAAAATAATATATAATTAGGTCTAATCATTTCCCACTACCAACCTCATTAATTGACCTATTTACCGTGCACTGAATGAAAAGAAATAAGGTATTTAGAATACGTGTGTTCAACCTAATAGACACTCATGAAACGGGAATCACTTATTAATAAGAAAGAATTTCCATGCTGCTTTGCATAAAACAATATCCAAATGTGAGCTGTGATTTTGAAACTGCTACGAATTTTATCGCGACATTGAAGGTCGCGCTAATTCAGACGGTGATAGAAGAGAGCTAAGAACAGAGAAGTAGGAGATAAAGTTAAAAATAAATACACATTATTTCCAACACTCCACCCACAACAATCAATATACAGGTATGATATTCGAAACTGAAATGTATTTCAAAAAATGATCAACATATTTTTTTGTTTCCGTGTGTCTGGTCAAAGTCTCACGATTTTCGCGCATCCCGATAATCTGATTTTTCGTGCAGCTGTTTTTGTTATCCTCCCCGGAATATTGCTCTGTGTTATGAATTTGCGAAACTGTTAGTGCCGATTTTCGAAAAAGCCAACGAGTGGCATTTCTAGCAAGTTCTTCGACCTGATCACGCGTGGCAATAGGTGGTAAACATTTTCTGGCATTTGGATCTCTTTGTTGTTCAAATTGATCTGTTTCACTCCGCAATAACGTAAATATCGATCGGATTTGTCCCATTCATCATTCTGCTTTGAATGGTAAACCATGGAACTGCCTAATTTTGCCCTAAGTAATTGATCAATGCGCGATCAAATTCGGTCTTACTGATCCCGGACCGTTTGAAGGAATTGTGTGTTTTTCGTTTCAGGTAGCAAGAGCAAATGATGATGATCCTGTGCGTTGGGCATAATCTAGAGAATGCATAACAATCTTGCACACGATGTTGCCCATTCTCGTCCGATTGCAATCGGAATATAGGGTTGCCGTGCTGTGGTTTTGCACACGGTTTATCGAATCTAAAGGCCTATTTTGGTACGCGGAAATTTTGATCGACGGTTTTTGGTCAACTTTATGACTGATCAGAACCGCGGAAATCCCGCCGAACGTTTCAGCAACACTGATCTATACTCTACGCATCCTTCCCATACACTTCTGATTACCCCGTTCTGATAATAGTTCACGTCTATCATTCCAAAATAATTTTGTTGTAGTTTACGCATGCATCCCACACACTCATTGTTTGCTTATTCGAACCGCACACAAATGGGTTTCTCATCGTAGGCGATAGTGTATGTATAAATCGCCACGGGGATTTTGCTGGGAATCATGCAGCACTATTTCATGTTTGCCTGCCCGAATGTAACAAAACCCGGCTATTCACCCATTTCTCTCTCTCTCCATTCCTTCTGTTTGTTTATCCTCTACCCTGTTTAGCCAATGCAGACCCATCACAAATCCTTCAACTTCAACAACAAGCCCTGCTATTACAACAGCAGCAACATCAGCAGCAGCAACTCGATGCTCACATTCGTCAACAGCAACAACAGCAGCAACAACAACTCCTAGTTGGTGGCCTTCTCCAACCTACCTACAGTTCAAATTACGGTACACTAGGTCGACCCACAAGGACCGATTCTGTTGGTCCAATGCAATCCTATCTGTCCGCCGCCGCACTACTATCAGCACAACAACAGCAACAACAAGCACGGCAATATCAAGCACATAGCACAAACGGTGTGATACAGTCTCCATCCAGTGCGTTGGCTTCTTCGGAACAAGGAGATGCAATCATGAACAAGTCAACCAATGCACAGGGTGGATCGGGTTCAGTTGTTTACGAAAACTCGTACAATTCATTCCACCGGTAAGTTTTGTCACCGCGGGCGAGGGCGGGACTCACGTTTCTATATGAAAGCGCGCACGCGCACTCTCCATGATCCATGGTATTTGATCGCTCTGAACGTGGACGTGAGGTTGGCTCAGAGAAACTGCTAAAATATTTCATTCGGGCTTTTTATTCATAACACTGGTTGTGAATAGAGCTTGGGCCGTTCGCTCTCACTTGTCTATCCGTTAAGCATCAGTGCGCACAATTGAAATTCCTCGCATCGTGGAAAAAAGATAGTCGGCCAATGTAAAAATTATAGATTCCAAAAACAAATGATGTTGAACTGAATTGTATACTGGCATCCTATTTGTGAGGGGCCGGGTTCGTACTTCTGAAGAAACGTCGGATTTCAGTTTGCGTTTCTTTTGCTTTGCATTCCACCAAGTTCTTCCTATAAACATATTCCATCCTATACTACTCTATTGAGTGAAAATTGTGTTTGTTTGTTTGTGTGTGCGTGAGGGAGAGAGGGTATGTGTATACTAACTCGTCTTGTACCTTGTTCGCACTTCATTTTTGAACCATCCGGTTGTGGTATTCATGATTGACTAGCACTAACTGAAAAATAATCAGTTAAGTATGCATCACCAGATATGCAGCTACCGTCAACCTGTGTCTTTATTTGTATTTTATTTTGTACTACGTTATTGTGTAACGAACGGTACATACTGTTCACCCAGAGGGAACTAGCAGCTTTAGACCAGAAACTTGGAGTAAAGAACCACATAGAGCTCCATTACTAGCTCAGTCTGCGTATGAAGCCGGACGACAGCGAAGCTGCCTACCACCAAAGTTATGGTAGGGCTTATGGGGTTTGAGCCTCGTACTCTAGCGCGCCGGTGACAGCGAATTGTACAATCTGACCACCACCGCCTAGGTAGTCAGATTTCATAGATAGTTAATGCTGAGCAACTAGTTTTTGTTGGTGTACGAGCGACCGAATGGTTCAGATTTGCGATCGACATATAATACGATTTTTTATCTTTTCCTCTGGAAGGTATGGCTGAAATGCCCATTTGTGGTTTATTTTATGCAACTTATTGCGTAACGGAGCAGTCGTGATATTTGGGGCTGAGTTTAAAAGAAGTTTTGGTTATGCTGGATGCCTTACTTGGTCGATTGTTTAGCACGAGAAACAAACAAAACAGTTTTTGTACAGCGGTTACGAAATTGGAGATCGAAGAAACTCCTCAGTTATTCATTACGATTGAATTCGAATTGCAGTGGTCAATAACTGTGTAATCATCAGAATTACTCGGGTGGTTGAAGTCATTCTCACCAACAGTGGGGTCCATAGGATTCAAGATCCGATCCCTACGGCTGAATTTCCCCTTAACAGCGGGTAAAACGACTAATGTATCCAAAGCCAGATCAAATTGTGAAGCATTGGAACTCACCGGCTTAGTGATGACACCAGATACACTGAGGGATTTTTCCCATCCTTAACCTTCATAACGTGAAAATCGGGGATCTTGTAACACGTTCTTAATTTGGTTCTGTATGGCAGTTCCAGACAATACGGATTTTTATGTTAACTCGGTGTTTTACGTGTGCATTGCTAAAATTACGATGTGTACTCTTGTCACAAATTTCTTTCAAGTAATCTTGTCGTTCTTTGTCCATTTTGGTAGTGTCATTCATGAGTGCCCGGTCTAACACAGACACACGCCCACTCATCAATCTTACCTTACTCTTACTTAGAGGTGACTCCCTTCATCTGCATAGTACTAGTTCCTTTGCCCGACCTGGACTAAATGGAATGGCTCATCTCTCCCTTCTTCTTGGGCGGCCGGTACGCCGGAGGCCGGAAACCCTCGAGCACATTGTTGTCAGCCTGACCGGATAGCAGCAGTCCGATCCAAACTGCTTAGTCTGACTCATCTATTCGTGATGCGTCCACCCTTTTTCACATGGCAAACAAACGTGATCAGTCGGTCGACGAAAGCACTGATGTGCCAAAGTGTGAAAAACAACTTTCCCCCAACCCCTTCCTTCATCTCATCACTGTCTGTGTATTTAACTCAAACTCCGTAGCTTTCAACTTGAAGGAGTGGCCGGAAATACTT